TAGTGTTCATAGTGTTCTCAATTGTACATATGACGCTAAAAGCACATATTCTTTTTTCGCTACTAAATAGGAACACTCCACGAAGACTGTTACAACTGAAGTTCTGAATTTATTCGGTCATATGTTGCCAGCAATTTTTCCTTTTAAGCTGGTTGGTGTAATGCAAGAGTTAATTAAAACTGCAACTGATTCTGGCACTGAATTAGCTGCTCATCAATATCTTATAGTGTGTCTAATATTTGTTCACGCTGTAATACTGCAAGTAATCATTATTTTACTCAAAATATTAATCTCATATCATTTATCTAATGTCTTTCCACATCCTAATGTACTGATTCACTGAACTATTGAGGTCATTGCTTCCTTAAAGTGTGTTGGGGTTTCTTTATTGAAGACATGAGATAAATGATTGTGTCATTTATTCTTCACTATCATTTAAAATGATTGTTTGTTAACTTCATTGATTAATACATATCAGTTTGAGTCAATACGACTTTTTTATATTTCAAGTACATTATCACATGCTATTACTATTTTATTTATATTTCTTTTGTTCCTATTCACTCATAAACATATCTTCTTCCTTGAAAACAGGAGTTGTTTGAATGACTTTCGTTTTTAGTGATTTATGTGTTGAGCAACTTACATTTTTCTCAACTTAGTTTTTCAATATACCATAAGTAATGTTACAATCAAGCGAATGCTAGCGTTTATTTTGGGATTAGGTAACAGATTATGTTGGTTTTTACGTTGTTTGACTAAGACAGATGTTCATTATGCTGTGTTTTAGTTGTAGATTGTTCAGAATCTAATGTAATTTCCGTAATCCTTAGAAGTTATGCGTCATGTGTTATTTTAATTATATGAACTGAAAAGCTGAATATGACTCCGGTTTTGTCTTAGTAAATCATGGATTTAGTTAAGTTTAGTTCTGTTTGCAACATAATAATGTATTCTTTGTTGTCCATGTTTTGATAATTAACCTTCAGATGTTTGAGATAATTGATATTCAAGATGTTTGGTTTCTCTTCATATACCAATTAATATAATTTCTCGATCCGAAGAAAACATCTTAGGTTTTTGTAGGTTAATAAAGTAATGAACACAACTACGAATATAAATATCAATAAAAAGACCACTTTTGCTCGCTCTCGTTACCTACCTAAATGTCCATCGTAAGTACCTAATTAGAAATTGATTTCACATCTCCTTATTCCTCTCTTCCGTTTTATCTTCATTCCGTGTTTACTTTTATTTTCCAACATGTCCTATCTACTCGAACTCAATTCACTAACTGGTTAGAAGTCGACTGCTACTACCGAATACGGATCCTTAACCAGTCTTTCTGAAGCTACGTGAATCACTCAAACTAACTCCTTCAACGTCCGCACACTAATGTAGATCAGACAATAGTTAAGGTTGGCTATGTCTTCGAAGCGTCTCAATATCGATGTTTGTTGTCTATCCGATACCTGTAGTTAAGACCAGCAGCGTTCCGCGAATTCACTCTCCATGTGTTGGTTCGACAGGCTTATTTCACATGCATTTATCTGGGGACTAAGAGGTATCTTCATCCGGTTGGGCTGGCGTTGGTGTCTCATTAAGCACCATAGCAAAGGCAGCACTAATCGATTGGACCTCTCCAAATGGTCGATTATCTGCCGTTAGATCCAAAAGCTCTATCAAAATGCGAAGAGACCGGTGTGAGAAACTGTCTGTTCGTTATCGCAGCCTACATCCCGACAGATCACAACCTGGAATCAACCAAAGATGAGCCCTACCACCAGTTAAGCAATCTCCGAGGAGCGTGTTCGGTAGATACTGAGGTTTAAAAATCCCCATAGAATATTCAAGAACGAAGAATATTTGAGCGAACAATTGTTTTCAATAACTTCATCATCAGGCTCTACAGTTATAAGTCCATAATTATAATATTTTACAAAGGCCAAAAATAAGGCATGTTTTAATGAGTTTGACAATGTTATGTGTTAAAAATGGTGAACGTTTGCATCTGTTACGATATATATATATATACTTCAAAAAAAAATTGTAATATTTGCAAATTAGAAAGTTCATTCAATAAAGGTCAGTAAATTGTTCAGTCACAATAAGATAATATAATAGTACTATTGCAAAATTGAAAATAATTTTGTCAACTGAGATAATAATATTGTGTGAATATAATATGTAATAAGGGGGGTGTTATCAAGGTAATTACGGTCAACAAATTGGGAGTGATGGATATGAAGATTAAGATATAGATAATGACAAATAATGATAATAAGGAAAATAAATAAAATGAAGGAAGGGGTAAGAGGTTTATAATATTCAGTCTAGGTATTTGGTGATCTAGTCGTAGGCCAGGGTAAACATAAAGGCTGGATATATTTTTTCTGGATGCATAACTTAGGTCTTCTGGAGTTGATCCAGATGGCTTCGGCTGTGTAAAGCAGTCGTAATCTAGCTCCTTGAGGTAGATATTTTGGAACTTGATATAAAACAGAGAAAGCTTCCTCTATTTTAATATGATGTTCACTATCCACCAAGTGAGAAAGAATGGTGCTGTTAATTGATTTGGTGACTCCTTTTCCCAACCATGCTGGTACATGTTCACGAACACGCAAGGATAAAGCCCTCTGAGTACGGCCTATGTAACTAGCTCCACAGGAGCAGTTGAATTGGTATACACACATGGAGGAGCCCATCTTCGGTAACTTATCCTTGATTAGTTGTGTGAGTACTGGTTTAGTCGAGAAAGTTATGCGTAACTTGGCGGCATGAAACGTCCTCTCGACAGATCTTTTGAGTCGACGTGTTAGAATATCACCCGCTATGTCGCCTTTAAAGTCAAGTTTCAGATATAAGGTCTTTTTACTGACCGTGTCGCAATGTCTTCTCTTTTTAATACTTTGTACGAGGTATTTTTTGACGAAATTATCCGGATAGCCATTATTACGTAACGTGTTCTTTAGTATAACTATTTCTTCCTCCACACTGTCTTCAGAACATAATACCTTGATTCTGTGGTTGAGACACTTAACCAAATTTATTTTATATTGCAGAGGTGTGAAGCTTTGGAAATGGGTATACTGACCCGTCCATGTACACTTTCTAAACATATTTCGCTTTATGGAACCATCTATCCTTCTAGAGAGTCGGACATCTAGAAAGGCTATGCTATTGTCCTTTTCCTCCTCGCTGGTGAATTTAATGGCTGGGTGGACATTATTGAAAGCGTCTAACATCTCCTGTTTGTCGATATTTTCGTCACATATGATTAATGTGTCATCTATGTATCGACAGTAATAATCAAGCTTATTTAGGATGTCTTTAAGCGGTCCATTTTCTAGTTTGGTTAGAAAAATATTAGCATGGACGGGTCAGTATACCCATTTCCAAAGCTTCACACCTCTGCAATATAAAATAAATTTGGTTAAGTGTCTCAACCACAGAATCAAGGTATTATGTTCTGAAGACAGTGTGGAGGAAGAAATAGTTATACTAAAGAACACGTTACGTAATAATGGCTATCCGGATAATTTCGTCAAAAAATACCTCGTACAAAGTATTAAAAAGAGAAGACATTGCGACACGGTCAGTAAAAAGACCTTATATCTGAAACTTGACTTTAAAGGCGACATAGCGGGTGATATTCTAACACGTCGACTCAAAAGATCTGTCGAGAGGACGTTTCATGCCGCCAAGTTACGCATAACTTTCTCGACTAAACCAGTACTCACACAACTAATCAAGGATAAGTTACCGAAGATGGGCTCCTCCATGTGTGTATACCAATTCAACTGCTCCTGTGGAGCTAGTTACATAGGCCGTACTCAGAGGGCTTTATCCTTGCGTGTTCGTGAACATGTACCAGCATGGTTGGGAAAAGGAGTCACCAAATCAATTAACAGCACCATTCTTTCTCACTTGGTGGATAGTGAACATCATATTAAAATAGAGGAAGCTTTCTCTGTTTTATATCAAGTTCCAAAATATCTACCTCAAGGAGCTAGATTACGACTGCTTTACACAGCCGAAGCCATCTGGATCAACTCCAGAAGACCTAAGTTATGCATCCAGAAAAAATATATCCAGCCTTTATGTTTACCCTGGCCTACGACTAGATCACCAAATACCTAGACTGAATATTATAAACCTCTTACCCCTTCCTTCATTTTATTTATTTTCCTTATTATCATTATTTGTCATTATCTATATCTTAATCTTCATATCCATCACTCCCAATTTGTTGACCGTAATTACCTTGATAACACCCCCCTTATTACATATTATATTCACACAATATTATTATCTCAGTTGACAAAATTATTTTCAATTTTGCAATAGTACTATTATATTATCTTATTGTGACTGAACAATTTACTGACCTTTATTGAATGAACTTTCTAATTTGCAAATATTACAACTTTTTTTTGAAGTATATATATATATATCGTAACAGATGCAAACGTTCACCATTTTTAACACATAACATTGTCAAACTCATTAAAACATGCCTTATTTTTGGCCTTTGTAAAATATTATAATTATGGACTTATAACTGTAGAGCCTGATGATGAAGTTATTGAAAACAATTGTTCGCTCAAATATTCTTCGTTTTTGAAGATACTGAGGTGTTAGCCGGAGATGTAAGTGCACAGGTGGCGGTTCTAGACGCAGAAGAGTCGTTTGGATAGCCAAGGCCGAATCGTTGGTCGCAAGTCAGATAACGGTGACCTACACCTGTAGCTATATGCAGACCACAACCTGTCTATGGCCACTACTAACTTTCGGGACAGTCATTGCTAATGCGCTACCTGGAGTCCTCCCTCTGCATCTCAGCATTGGACTCAGTTTGATGACGTCGCGATCAGCTACCGCAGGCGTGGTCGTGTAAAAGACTGCCGCTCCTATTGGAGCACCTACCTGGAATCCAATCATGCCCTCGTTTGCGAAAATCTTACGTTCTATTGGCCAAGTTCATCAAATGGATTGTTGTAAACAAGCCGGCTTCAGCTTCCGTTCCAGTCAAATATCGAACTGAGCTATGTGCAAGGCTAGTTATCAACTTACGAAAATTTATAGATGAGCACTGGCTGTATTCGCATGACGCAACAAAAAGTGGTGATTAAAGTTGTTCGAGGTTTAAATAGGCTCCTTATAACTCCTTGAGGCGAATCGGTCTACTCCCACTAACCACGAGTTTGAGATGGGTCCTTACATGAAGAAATCGTGCTAATTTTGCGTAAGGATCGAGAAGTCTGGTGGTTGGAGCGTGCTATCTAGTTGAAAGAAGCGTTTGCATCTGATAACTACCGGAAGCTCTTCCAACTCGTCCGAACCACTGGCAGCAAGAAATGCTGTGTGAGGGAAATAACATATGAAGCTGATAGGGTGCCAATCAATATCACCCACCAGTGTCTTAGGAGATGGACTTAGTTCTTCAAGGAGCAGTTCAGGTCGTCTGCTGCTTTGACGGAATCGGTCAGACCGTCTTGTCCTCCATTGCCAACGACGACTGATTCTCCTAACGATTCAGAAGTTTTCATGGAACTCCAGCATTATTATTATTGATGGCTTTATTCAATATTATATTTTGGTACAATATAGAATTCTCAGCAACCGAATAACATTGTCATAAAACCCAGAAGATTTACTTTCAGGCCTTTTTAAGGACGGTCGAGAACCTCTAGTCATGAAACTGACTAGATTGTTTCGAAGTGTTTGGGAATTAGAATGTTTCGATATCCTGGAATTAAGCGACAGTTCCCTAACTTTAGAATGACTCACGTCATCTGCGCAACAACTATTGGACGGTAAGTCTACTTCCAATCGGGTCCAAATTATCGACATATTGTTCAGAACCCTCGAATGATTGATTCGAGAGGAACAGGTTAGTTTTGTTCTGGTTGAGGATGTGTTGATCATATGTTCATGCTCCGCTAAATGTCAGATCACCGTCGTACTTATTGAAGGCGAAGCATCGTTTTTTCCCCGATATCAGGGTCGCCTTTTATTCATTGAACAGCACTGTCCTCTGTGATTGTTTGTCGAAAAAGGGTGTGCTTGTGAAGCTCATTAACATATTGAAGACACTGTAGAATCACCTCAGTCAGTGTGAAAGCATGCAACTACCTCTCCACCTAACTCCATCCGAGTAGTTGGGTTAGTCAGAGTTGCCCGATCTCATTATTCATGTCCAACTCTGCCTAAAGTCACATTCTGAAAACAGCTCTGTTAGAAGTATGTAGTGGTGATGCGTATCTGTTACCTGAAGAAAGACTCTTCCACGTTGAGTATGCGGATGATGTAGTCTTACTGTGCGAGGATATCTATGCCATGCGATCCGCACTTGGTTGGAAGTGTCCGTAGGTATGGTAAGTGCTCTGCACCTAAGTGCAAAACACATGTACGGGACTGACAGGAGCCTGTACCTGCACTCACTCTTGGAAGTGGGCGGTTAGATGTAGTCGAGAAGTCCGTGAATTCGGGTAGCTGTTTAAGTTCAGGTGATGATACTAATTTACGTATAGTGAAATACAGAGTGGCTTATCTCAAACTGGGGCATCTCTGGTGCCTTCGCGATGTTGGTCTTGTTGTAAAAGGTCGAGTTTACAACGCGTTCTGCTGTATGGTTGTGAAACCTGGCTTCCGAGTTGAGGATCTTAAGTGATTATCGTTGTCTCTAAAGATTTCTGACATTCAGTGGCAACACCATGCTAGGAACACAGAAGTTCGGGGATGTGTGTTCGATTGCAGTGACAACAATCCGATTGGTGTCACCATCTTGAAACAGGGAATTTAGTGGCCTGGATATGCATTACGAATGTCGTCCCATGTCGTGCATCATTTGCCAACGCTGAGACTTGTTGGGAAAAGCGGAGGTGTGGTCGGTGTATGACATGGTGTCGCAGTATGAAGTAATGCTCTACAGGACTATCGTGCTTTTCCAAACCGATACCGTTGACGAAGCTGTTTAACAATTGTTTTGTCGTAATTTGGGACTTCTGACCATGTACACCATTAACTGAAGCTAGGAGTCATCGGCCATCAGGATTCATCTCCTTCTCTCAAACCTTCTGAAATTGGATGTTTAAAAGTCTGAAATCAAGATTAATCGTACACTTATAATTTTTAATAAAACATATCTTCAAAATAGTTGACTATGCAAAACAACCATCTTTTAGTAACAATAAATCTTCTGTGAATGAAACTTTGAGGTACACTAACGTTAGTACCTTTAGAACCAATAAATGTTTTTGCTCCCAGTCGAATACGATTAATCCCGCTTTCTTAACCTCTATGTACTGTAAATGACCAACATTTATTTAATTAAAGTTTCAGTTCGTGGTTTAACTTCACTCCAAGATTTCGTACACTCGGTATACTTCAATTCATTCCACTAAAGACTCAGCAATAGGATTATTCATAATTAAACAAATATATTTTGCACTAAGAGAAGCATCAGGTTATTTGGATTGAATATTGCCCACCTAACAAGTAAAGCTGGCTCATTTTTCTTATCAGATTTCTCGTGAATATGTTTATGTGAATCCGTAGTCGGAGCCTTTAGCTGATCCTGCTTTCATATTGTCACCAAGATATTAGAATAAAGGTTTCTTCTATTTCGAAACTTAATCTAGTCAAGTACTAGTTGTAAGTTAGCCATATGTATCTTTTTTATTTTCAGAATCTTTTAGGAACTTTAATTTGTGTTTGTTTCACTTTTTAAGGACTATGGCATCTAGTGAGGAATATCCTTCGCCATCAGGAAATCTACCACTTCAGTCGTCGGCTAAACGGATTTCCAAAGCTCGTAAATCTTGTTCCGGAGATCACCAAAATTGCAGTCCGGTTAGAAAAAATCATATTGACGACTCAAACAGCATTATCTTCACTCCTTCCATTGATAGTCGAGAACTTGATCGTCTAAAATTCACTAACCCAGGTAGACAGATGGAAGAACTAGAAGTCGGTTGGTCCGAAGCAAATATGACACGGAGTGTTCGCAGACAAATGACCGTTAAATCTGGTCACAAATCATCAGAGTAAATTAATGTCTTATGATAGTCAATTTCCATTGTAATTCTGAGCCACTAACAGTTTTATTTTTTTTAGCTTCAGGATGTGTTGTTGTATACATTTGATTGGCATAAACGTTTTATAAATTTAAAACAATTAGTCCCTTTGATAAATTTCGATAATGCAATGAGAAAACGTAGTTTATCAGAATTATGTGATATACTTGCGCAATACATTTCGAACAATCTGATCACACACATAAATTTTTTTAAACACTCTACGCTTGTGTTTGTATGACTACCCCATAACAAGAATGAGGGAAATTATATTATTCATTTGAAGACCATTTAAGTCATCCAATCTCCTTCAATATCTGGATACTTTATTATTGGACAACCGTCTTCTGGTTATTGTACAACACTTTAAAATACAATATTTTTGGTTTTCTTCGTTCATCATGAATCAATTCATTGTTTTCGAATTATGCTCTTTGAAAATATCGCTTTATAAACCCAAGTGTTTTGAATTTTGCATTTCTGGAAATCTAGTTGTATGTACTATGAGTCGGCTACTGTTTAATCAAATGAATGTCAATGCAGTGACTAGGTAGATAATCTACCGGGTCTGGGATCCGTTGTTTGTTGAACTATTTCGTCCTCATATTTCATCAGTTGGTTGCTAACTCGTTCTTTTCTTATTGACCGATGTGATTGCAACTGTCCGAGAAAACTGTATTGGTCATTCTGGCATTTGTTCGCGCTCAATATTAACTGTTGTTAGTGGTTTTATCTCCGTAAATTATTGTTGGGTTCACTCGGATAATGCACACAAGAGCGATTGGAGTCAGACTGTCTTATCTCCAGATTTTTCAAAATATTACTTACGTGTATTTTACTAAATTTAAATCCAAGGAAGTGTTCAGCACAAACTAACATTCCACTGGTCGACCTTTTCTCTGACATGTTATCCAAATGTCATACCTCCACAACTATTGCGAAAAGGATTTCGACCACTCTTCGTGTCACTGTATTCACACTGACTTCCACCGTATCCTCCAGAAGTCATGTTTCCCTGCTCACCTTGTCCAAGTTCACCGAAACCGCCCTGTGCAGTTTAATTTATGCCTCTACATTTCCGTTTCTTGAATGCACTATATCCGCCTTGACTAATTTAACCTCCGTTTACAGAACCACTATAACCTCATGCAGGACCCAAAATACCATTATGACTAACACAGGCCACTGGTTACAAAAATGGACGGCCGATCATTTCTCGTTAATCATATTCGAGAGGTGCGTTTCCACTTGTTCCATCATTGGAACGACGTCCTCGATCACGAATTTGAGGATGTGCCCACTATTCATGACCAGAATGTTACTACTTATCATATACGTAATGCCATGTTTTGACCTGTTTGCGCCAAGCATTCCTTGGGTCAAGCTTTTTAGAATAGCCAGCTCCGGCTAGCTACAGTATAAGCCTGACTCTCGCGAATCAATATGTGGAAGCCGATTATATTTTTGTCCTCGTTCATATCCCTTTGTGAGTACTCATTTCGTCTTACACAGCATGAAATTCTCTCGCTATCTATTATGCATTTGCTCGCAAAGTTTGAGATTCATTCTATCTTATACTTGCTAAAAACTTTCATCATAATATATCAAATGATCTGCAGGTCACATTTAACAATCAGCATCCGTTCAACGTATATCCTTTCGGAAATATTCAGCCTGGTACTATTCGAAGACCACATTTTAAAAATAATTTCCCTACGTTTTCCAACCATCATCTCCCAAGAATAAAAAACCCAGTAGAAGCATCGATCGTTTTGCGGCAAAATGCTCTAATTTCTGTGATCAACTATTTCGTTTGTTTCTCGAATTGTCTCGTTTCATGGTAAATGGCCAGATTTGCTCTTCAACGGCTGTGCAAACTTAAGTTTTGATGGGACGACACAGTTTGTAGGGAAGGACATAAAACATGGACGAAGTGGATAGCGGAAGCAATACATCTACAACGTATTGCTCTAACAAGGTCGTTAAACGCAACAAGCTATTCTACAATCGAACTTCGAGTGTTCAGTGATGCTTCAAGGGATAACTGTGGAGCAGTAGGATCTTTATCGCTGACTGATGAGCGAGAAGATCGAGCTTACCGACTAGTGTTTGCTGAAGCCAGATCAGCACTTATCAAAGTGATAAACGGACCATGTCTTGCTTTGGCGGAGGGAGTTTGCTGGTAAAGATCTCAAAATTAGTCTGTAAATAAATGACCATCACTGTATCCAGGATGGCGTACTAGACCCTTACTTATGGTGCTTTATAATATAAATAATTATTTTAAGGAGATTTCCAATAATTCTGTTAATAGATTATTGTGCATGCAATTAGAGCATTTTCATTTGTCGCTGTAATAATGCTTTTTCAACAAAGACATATCAACATAGTATTTATTGGACATGTGAATAGTAGAGAGTTCACTATTGCTGAGCATCTGGTGCACAAATGGTGTGGTATTGACAAATATGCTGTCAGTAAGTTGGAGAAAAGGCTTCTGAGATGCATAAAAGTTCTTCTAAGTATGTTTGGATAAATCAAATCATAAACACAAACGTGTTATCACTTGATACAAGCAGCTACAACGCCGTGGACCCCCCGGACCATGAGAAACTTATTAATAAGACGGGCTCAACTACAATTACGTTTGCGCCAACCCCCGGTTGGTACGGTAACAATATGTTTGACAGGAGGCCGAACGTGGTGTTATATTAATGTGTGTAGGTGATAGAAGTGAAGTATATAAATGGCATCACTAATTCTAATTATACTCTCTTAGAAGCTTTAAATAAAATGGAGCCTTCATTAGTACCATTCCACTTTTGAGCATAGACTCAAATGTAACAACCACCGGTATGAACCAGTGATCAAATGTTCCAAAAATCATAACACGAGTAAACAGGTAGCTATCAGCAGAAGGTATGCCAACAAATATTCAATACTTCAAATATAGTTTGACTGGTTTTTTTGTTTCACTAGTACCATCAAATATATGTTGATTCCAACTTTATAAAATTGGAAATGTCATTTTAAAATAGAAGTGTGACTAAGGCTGAAAGAAAAATTTATCTGCAAACGAGGAGACACTAGAAAAATTGGGAGGAAGAACAAGTGCCACCAACAGACTGGAAAGAAGGATATCTCATCAAGATACCAAAAAGACGAGATCTGAGCAAAAGTGAGAACTACAGAGGCATCACACCACTATCGGTACCAGGAAACGTTCTCAACAGTGCCGCTGGACCAGATGAAAGATTCAGTAGACACCCGACTTCCAGATCAACAGACCGGATTCCGTGGGGATCGGTCGTGCACAGACCAAATCGCGACACTAACGATCATCGTTGAGCAATCAATTGAATGGAACTCGTCACTATACATCAACTTCCTTAACTATGAGAAGCTATTTGACAGCATGGATAGGAGAACCTTATGGACTCTTTTTTGACACTATGGTGTAGCTGAGATTTTGAAGGTCGTACAGAATTCTTGCGATGGACTACACTGCAAAGTCTTGGATGGTTGGTTGCTAACAGACATATACTAAGTAAGACCGGTGTCAGACAAGGTTGCTTACCCTCACGTTTCCTCTTTCTCCTGGTGGTCGACTGGATTATGAAGACCTACACATCTGAGGGGAAGCACGCAATTCAGTGGACAGTTCAAAACCAATTAGACGATTTGGTCTTCGCAGATGACCTAACCCTCCTATTCCATACACACGAACTAGTGTAGAAGCGGCCTCTGCATCAGTAGGCCTCAGTATACACAAGGGAAGAAGTAAGGTCCTCAAATACAACAAGGAGAACACCAACCCAATCACATTTGATGGAGAAACTCTGGAAGATGTGGAATCTTTCACGTACCTGGGAAGCATCATTGATGAACAAGGAGGACCCGATACAGACGTGAAGGCAAGGATTGGCATAGCAAGAACAGCATTCCTACAGCTGAAGAACATATGGAACTCAAAACAACTGTCAACCAATATCAAAGTCAGAATCCTCAATACGAACGTCAAGACAGTTCTACTGTACGGAGCTGGAACTTGTAGAACTACCACAAACATCATCAAAAATGTACAAGTATTTATAAACAATTGTTTACCCACGACACTCAATGTGCATTGGTTGGATACTATCAACAACAGTCTACTGTGGGAGAGAACAAACCAACTTCCAGCTGAAGAGGAAATTAAGCAAAGACGTTAGAAGTGGATAGAACATACATTGAGGAAATCAAACTGCATCACGAGGCAAGCTCTAACTTGGAATCCTGAATGGAAACGGAAAAGAGGAGTACCAAAGAACACACTACGTCGGGAAACGGTAGCAGATATGATAAGGATGAATAACAATTGGAAAGGGTTGTCGAGGACAGAGTTGGATGGAGAATGCTGATGGGCAGCCTATGCTTCTTCATGAGGTCAGCTGAATAGGAAGTCAGGAAGCCGATTTTTTTGAAGAATACATTTACCTTAATTTTACTGATCATTTTATTAGTACTCACAACTCTATGGTCTTGCTGCTCTAGTTATAAAACAGGCAGTGGCTATTATTGTGATAAATGGGATGAGATGCGAGCGAGATGAAAGTACATTTTTCGGGTTCTTTTTCTGACCTGAGGTAGGTTATTCTAGCTTGGCTATGAATGCATTTTTTATCACTAGTAAGAAATATTTTCCCTGGTCTATTTGTTAACTTCCTGTTTTCATCTACTGTTAACAGTCGGTTGCATCCGTTATACGATTCTCGTGGCCGCCTTTTAGGAACTTTAGAATATAGTTGTGATTGCCTAAAATCTGAATGTCCTGGGTGCCATTTGCCATGTCGTAGGTGCCATTCTACGTTTTGTGGAGCATCATGTCGAATTTATCGAACTTATCGTGTTAATGAAGTAAGTTCCTAATCGTTTCATATTAACGTTTTCTTCATCCATTGAAAGGTTATGTTATTCAAGCTATTACAATTTTTAATACTCTTTTCTATTAAATTGTATTGGAGATAAGTCTGATGTTCGTGGATTTATCTTCGTCCACAGTTCGTTTGCTATCGGCAGTTTGATAGTTGACGTACTCGGAGCTTAGCCATTTGGCTACAGACGTGGAACCCACCTCAGCTACTATAGATCGTATCACAAAAAATATCCCAATACCTTACAGAAATTTGTATTCGAAAGGGGAATTGCAGGAACTTGTATTTGATTATTGAGTTCCATTAATAAAATTTATCTTTATGTAAATATCATTTAGTTAATACAACTGCTAGTGACATTAATGGTTTAAAATACAGTGCAGTCGTGATCGGAATTTCTTTGATTGAGTTGTAAAGTAGATAAAACGTATCTTAAAGAAGCAGAGAAAACTGGGTTGCACGCTTCTTTGTGGGATTTAGGCTACCCTTATAAGTAACTTTCAAAAGAAGTCCTTTAACAGCAGATGAATATCTTCCCATCGCCTGGTTTGTCAACATATATTTCAATCGTATCACTGGTTTTATTGTGTAATAAAATCGACTGATAATAAATAAGCCTTGCTTAAAACTAACAACGTTTATCTTGTGGTAGTTTATTGATATACTGGATGACAGTTTTGAAAGTGAAAAGTCATTGTATTGACTACTGAACTCAATTTTGAAAATAATTTCTGTTCACATGTGTTTTTTTCACACCCGATGATGTTTTGATTATTGGGATTTAGAGTGTGAGCTATTTTCTGTTGTTTATAACTTGATATTTATGTTTGACCTGAAATTTCAAATTAACGTATCTTCATTTCAATGTGCATTAATTGTCCAAATACTCTAATATTCACAATCATTTTGTTATGAAAGTATTGAGTTAGTTACTAGTTGTGAAATTCAGAGGATACTGTCAGTTCATCTCGTGATAGTACTAATCGCAATTCTAATTTGGGTATATTCAGTTGGAAGTGTTTAAGAAGGATGATAAGCATTTCTTAAATCTAGATTTAAACCATAAGCAAAATATGTTTTGACTTATTATGTTGAACTGATATCATTATCATTAAATTGAATCTAGTTCATGCAAATTTTCCTACTTGGAGGCTATTGTTTATGGTCCTGTAGTGACCTGGTTTTTTTGGACTTCATCATTGTTACTGACTTCTCTTTCTCTTTAGCTGGAAAAACTAGCAAATAGCTGTTACGTTGAGACAGTAACTTGATAAATTTACATGTCTGAACTTACCTATATTTTTAATAAAAGTAAAGGAATATTAAACAACTAAATCTTGGTCTCTAATTCTATTAGTTACTTTGTATTTGTTTGAACAGCTATTTCTCAACTCTTTTATCCATGTACGTTTTAGGTGTTTATACAAATATTTGTTTATCTGTCTAACAAACTATCTGCTTGTATTAATATATCAGATTATACTTTTTCTATCCATTCAATATTATTGCATTGGATTGGACGATTGACCGATTGATTATTTGGATTAATAATATTCTGAATATAATAATACTCTTGTCGTCATTGTGTTTATACCACTGTGGTTATTTTTTAAATTGGAAATGCAACTAGAAATCCGAAGTAATTGAATACAAAAAGCACGCCCCATATATTTGTGGCAATGAGTAGATTTTTTCCATGTTAAAGATTACTCCAAAAATCCTAGCATTGCTTTTCAAAGCTGAATTCTACAGTTAAGTACCTTTGTATTCAATCCTAATTTGACATATATATACATATCACATCGAATGTTTGAGACAAAATGAGTAGATTACTCCCTCATGGTTGTTCAACTGAAAATAATTAATGATTAGAATCACCATGTGTACTCCCTTTCGTGCTCGTTAAACTGAAACATAATTTCTTACATTTTTTTGTTGAAAATTACTAACTTTCAATAATAACTATGGACTACTGATGTACTGACATTTCGCAAAATATAAAAGCTCACTCATGAGACTCACTAAAAATTAACAGTTGTTAGAAAACCGTGTTCATATTATCGGAGAACTCTTGCTTCAAAGTTAGCCATCCCTTATCAAATGATTTAAATCGCAGTATGAAGAAATACCTTGTATTGTATTTGACATCTGGTATTTCCCTTCATTTGGAAAATCGGTAAGACTATAAACCCATTTAATTCAACAGCAGTCTTTTGCTTGTTGAATCGAGTTAAACATAATTTTAAGTTATCTTGTTTACTTTCTCGTCTTTATTTTAGGTTAAACTGTTTATCTGACTTCATGAGTTCAATCGTTTGTCGATATCCACCACTACAGTTTCTAACCATCATTTTTTCCAAATAAATTATTATTATTATTATTCAATGAGAGTCTTATATTTCTTCGTTTACTTAAAATATCGATTATCTCAGAAAAAAACGCGTGTGTTTTTCGAATATGGCATGAACATTTTAATTGTCTTCGCTCAAGCATACTGCCATTCCTTTATCATGATTATTATTCATACCCTTCATTAAAGTTATAATGAAAAGTGTTTTGCAGGACATAGTTCTCAGTGTGGACTGTTCATCTTATAACTGATAACAAATATTGATTGGAGGAATGTTTGATAACTGAAAGTACCACTAAATTATTTACATTCTTTCTTCCAAAATTACTAGTTATTTTGTATGTTTCGTACGTTTAATGCAGTCTTTTGAACTGGTTTCGATTGTTTAACGTTCACTGGATAAAAGTCGATTTTTCGAACTACTTTATGTCGTCATGTAAGCTGTTTATCTTGCTTAATAATATCATATTCAAAGGAAATTGAAATTTTTTTCTCAGTGCTCGAAATTTAAGAAGAATTTTGAAAAAGAACTTAATATAATTATGTGCGTTGTTAATTATGTTGTTCAGATTTGGACTTGAAAAGTTCACGAAATCATCACCAACCTATACGACTGTATATATATATACTTCACTGTCGCAAATTTAGTTGACTTTCAGTGTTGAGTCGAATCTCTATATGAAATCGAAATTCACACTTTTGCCGCCTTTATACGTTTTAGAGCTAGTACAGTTAAGAATTTATGAAATCTGTCCTCACCCTATATCCTGTCTATAGGTCTTCCGATTTCTGATCATAACTAAAAACACATAATCCAGATTATTACCACGGTAATGATAATACAGAGTTTGTTACAAATATCCTGTATTCAAATTCTTCCAAGAAACAGTCAGAACCTGCAATGAATGATACACTGTGAACTATAATTCCTGACATACTTCGTTAGACTTCGTTGCGTCTAAGAAATTCGTTTTCGCACCCTCCATTTAAAAATAAATAGCAAAGCTAATTCTTACTTACTCCTGCTACCCTCATAAAGGAACATAGGCAGCACATCAGCATCCTCCATCCAACTCTGTCCTCGACAACCCTTTCCAATTGTTATTCATCCTTATCATATCTGCTTCCGTTTCCCGACGTAGTGTGTTCTTTGGTACTCCTCTTTTCCGTTTCCATTCAGGATTCCAAGTTAGAGCTTGCCTCGTGATGCAGTTTGATTTCCTCAATGTATGTTCTATCCACTTCTAACGTCTTTGCTTAATTTCCTCTTCAGCTGGAAGTTGGTTTGTTCTCTCCCACAGTAGACTGTTGTTGATGGTATCCAACCAATGCACATTGAGTGTCGTGCGTAAACAATTGTTTATAAATACTTGCACATTTTTGATGATGTTTGTGGTAGTTCTACAAGTTCCAGCTCCGTACAGTAGAACTGTCTTGACGTTCGTATTGAGGATTCTGACTTTGATATTGGTTGACAGTTGTTTTGAGTTCCATATGTTCTTCAGCTGTAGGAATGCTGTTCTTGCTATGCCAATCCTTGCCTTCACGTCTGTATCGGGTCCTCCTTGTTCATCAATGATGCTTCCCAGGTACGTGAAAGATTCCACATCTTCCAGAGTTTCTCCATCAAATGTGATTGGGTTGGTGTTCTCCTTGTTGTATTTGAGGACCTTACTTCTTCCCTTGTGTATACTGAGGCCTACTGATGCAGAGGCCGCTTCTACACTAGTTCGTGTGTATGGAATAGGAGGGTTAGGTCATCTGCGAAGACCAAATCGTCTAATTGGTTTTGAACTGTCCACTGAATTGCGTGCTTCCCCTCAGATGTGTAGGTCTTCATAATCCAGTCGACCACCAGGAGAAAGAGGAAACGTGAGGGTAAGCAACCTTGTCTGACACCGGTCTTTACTTAGTATATGTCTGTTAGCAACCAACCATCCAAGACTTTGCAGTGTAGTCCATCGCAAGAATTCTGTACGACCTTCAAAATCTCAGCTACACCATAGTGTCAAAAAAGAGTCCATAAGGTTCTCCTATCCATGCTGTCAAATAGCTTCTCATAGTTAAGGAAGTTGATGTATAGTGACGAGTTCCATTCAATTGATTGCTCAACGATGATCGTTAGTGTCGCGATTTGGTCTGTGCACGACCGATCCCCACGGAATCCGGTCTGTTGATCTGGAAGTCGGGTGTCTACTGAATCTTTCATCTGGTCCAGCGGCACTGTTGAGAACGTTTCCTGGTACCGATAGTGGTGTGATGCCTCTGTAGTTCTCACTTTTGCTCAGATCTCGTCTTTTTGGTATCTTGATGAGATATCCTTCTTTCCAGTCTGTTGGTGGCACTTGTTCTTCCTCCCAATTTTTCTAGTGTCTCCTCGTTTGCAGATAAATTTTTCTTTCAGCCTTAGTCACACTTCTATTTTAAAATGACATTTCCAATTTTATAAAGTTGGAATCAACATATATTTGATGGTACTAGTGAAACAAAAAAACCAGTCAAACTATATTTGAAGTATTGAATATTTGTTGGCATACCTTCTGCTGATAGCTACCTGTTTACTCGTGTTATGATTTTTGGAACATTTGATCACTGGTTCATACCGGTGGTTGTTACATTTGAGTCTATGCTCAAAAGTGGAATGGTACTAATGAAGGCTCCATTTTATTTAAAGCTTCTAAGAGAGTATAATTAGAATTAGTGATGCCATTTATATACTTCACTTCTATCACCTACACACATTAATATAACACCACGTTCGGCCTCCTGTCAAACATATTGTTACCGTACCAACCGGGGGTTGGCGCAAACGTAATTGTAGTTGAGCCCGTCTTATTAATAAGTTTCTCATGGTCCGGGGGGTCCACGGCGTTGTAGCTGCTTGTATCAAGTGATAACACGTTTGTGTTTATGATTTGATTTATCCAAACATACTTAGAAGAACTTTTATGCATCTCAGAAGCCTTTTCTCCAACTTACTGACAGCATATTTGTCAATACCACACCATTTGTGCACCAGATGCTCAGCAATAGTGAACTCTCTACTATTCACATGTCCAATAAATACTATGTTGATATGTCTTTGTTGAAAAAGCATTATTACAGCGACAAATGAAAATGCTCTAATTGCATGCACAATAATCTATTAACAGAATTATTGGAAATCTCCTTAAAATAATTATTTATATTATAAAGCACCATAAGTAAGGGTCTAGTACGCCATCCTGGATACAGTGATGGTCATTTATTTACAGACTAATTTTGAGATCTTTACCAGCAAACTCCCTCCGCCAAAGCAAGACATGGTCCGTTTATCACTTTGATAAGTGCTGATCTGGCTTCAGCAAACACTAGTCGGTAAGCTCGATCTTCTCGCTCATCAGTCAGCGATAAAGATCCTACTGCTCCACAGTTATCCCTTGAAGCATCACTGAACATTCGAAGTTCGATTGTAGAATAGCTTGTTGCGTTTAACGACCTTGTTAGAGCAATACGTTGTAGATGTATTGCTTCCGCTATCCACTTCGTCCATGTTTTATGTCCTTCCCTACAAACTGTGTCGTCCCATCAAAACTTAAGTTTGCACAGCCGTTGAAGAGCAAATCTGGCCATTTACCATGAAACGAGACAATTCGAGAAACAAACGAAATAGTTGATCACAGAAATTAGAGCATTTTGCCGCAAAATGATCGATGCTCCTACTGGGTTTTTTATTCTTGGGAAATGATGGTTGGAAAATGTCGGGAAATAATGTTTTAAAAATTTTGTTTTCTTCCATGTACTCAACTTGTGTCTTGACTTTCTCTTCTATTGTTCCGCTTTTGTTAATTTCTTGTGTTTCTTCTTCGTTTCTTGAATCGTGTTTCCGACTCATAAAGGCCCATTCGTTTTGATGATGCTTGTTGCGGTCGAGCACTTCCTGACACGTTGAAGTTAATGCTTCTTTGATCCCTTTACAGTCGTCCTCCATAGACGTTTCTTCTTCTTTCACTCGATCCTGTATGGCTTGGAATATATTGTTGAGAATTATCTTGAATTCGTTTAGTTTGTCAGTATCTCGAAGGAAGGCTGTATTGAACCTTTGTAATACTGTTCCCCATGTTGTTCAGTGCTTCTTTAGCTTCAGTTTAATCTTGCCAACCATCAGGTGGTGATCTGAATCTATATCAGCTCGTCACCTGGTTCTCACGTCATCTACTGTCCTTCTGAATCTTTTATTGATATAAATATGATCTATCTGGTTCTCTGTGGTGTGATGCAATGAGACCCATGTAGCTTTCTGTATGCGTTTGTGTTAATATTGTGCCGCCGATAACTAATTTGTTGAATGCACATAAATTTGCAAATCTTTCTCCATTTTCGTTTGTTTCTCCCAGTGCATGTCGTCCCATGCTATCTTCCTATCCAGTGTCGTCCATTCCGACTTTGGCGTTTAGATCTCCCATCAGGATGGTGAGGTCCTTTCTTTGGCACTTCGCTATGATTTGTTGCAGCCTATCGTAGAACTGATCTTTATCGTCGTTGTTGTTATCATTGGTGGATGCATATTATTGAATAATATTCATTGTGATCCCCTCCTTCTTTGTTTTGAATGATGCTTTGATGATTCTGGATCCGTGAGATTCCCATCCTACAAGTGCATTTCGTGCTACTTTGGACAGCATCAGAGCAACTCCCTGAGTGTGTGGAGCATTTTCTTTTTCTTCGTGATTAGAGTACAGCAACGTCTTAAAAACATTCACCAGCCGTGTTCGTACTCAGTGAAACTCTTTCATATACCACTAGAGTTTCTCTCAGTCTTCGCATGCTGGTTCATTCATAATTGATAGAAAATCGTTTTTGAAAAATCGTGAGGTTTTGTCTTGTAATTCACAAGTAGTAGTACTGGTGAATCGACTGATTGTTTTTCGGAGCGATAAAAGTAGTTGCCAAAGACATAGAGTTCATCGTTTGTGTGTGGGCTGTGATACTGCCCGGGTGCCCAAGCCGAGGCAGGTGGTTATCTTAGGGGGCCACTCCCCGAGCCTTTGACCTAAAGGTCTAACCCACAAGGCAGTGGAGCATCGTAAGGAGATGCAATCCCATGGTAGCCGGTGACCAAAGATTGGTTCATACGCCATTTGTTCCCGCAGGATACTGGAGCCCATGTGCACCATTGGTTTGTGATCCGGTTAAAGCGCCGGACATTCGCTTTTCGTCCTCTCATTTTCGTAAACAACACCCCCGCCACGAGAAGGCAATGAGTAGGACTTCCCTGGCAGAGGCTGTATACGCGTGGCCGTGTGAGAGTATTTCGAGAGGGAAAGCGGACTCACCCCACTCTCGGCCGTACCAGGGCATTCGGGTAGTGGGGTTAGGCACGGTTGCCCAATCTCACCATTCCTCTTCAACTTTGCCATCGATGACATTCTGGAAACAGCTCTGATGAATGTAAGTAATGGTGGTGTGGATCTGTTGCCTGGAGAAAGACTTCTCGACCTTGAGTATGCGAACGATATTGTCTTACTGTGCGATAATGCCCAAGGCATGCAATCCGCACTTAATCAGCTGGCAATCAGTGTCCGTAGGTATGGTATGTGCTTTGCACCTTCGAAGTGCAAAGTACTCCTACAAGACTGGCAGGATTCCAATCCTGTACTCACCCTGGATGGTGAGCAGATAGACGTAGTCGAGAAGTTCGTGTATCTGGGTAGCTGCATAAGTGCTGGTGGGGGTGTGAGTGATGAGATCAATGCATGTATAGTGAAAGCCAGAGCGGCTTATGCCAATCTGGGCCATCTATGGCGCCTTCGTGATGTTAGTCTGGCCGTAAAAGGTCGGATCTACAACGCGTCGGTGAGAGCAGTTTTGCTCTATGCTTGTGAAACCTGGCCTCTCCGAGTTGAGGACGTTAGACGACTCTCTGTGTTCGATCATCGCTGTCTCCGAAGGATTGCTGACATCCAGTGGCAACACCATGTCAGTAATGCAGAGGTTCGGCATCGTGTGTTCGGGCACAGAGATGATAATTCAATTGGTGTCACCATCTTGAAACACCGACTTCGGTGGCTTGGACATGTTCTACGAATGTCGTCCCAGAGAATTCCACGTCGTGCATTATTTGCCCACTCTGGTACTGGTTGGGAAAAGCGGAGAGGTGGTCAGTGCATGACATGGTGTCGTGGCATGAAAGAAAGCTGCAAAGGACTGGCTTGTGTTGGTCCTTCACGACTCCCTGGTTGGGGTCTGAGAGATGGTGCTACACAGTGGCTAGAGACGTTATCAGATATGGCTCAGAATAGAAGCCAGTGGCGATCCTGCTGTAACCTTCTTTTACTTTCTTCATAAAAAGTGGTTGTGTCTCCCTTACCTGAAAGATTTCTTCTGATTGTACCTTTGCGTTCCCTGATTACTAGCATATTACCTTACACCAACCTCTTCGTTATTGTTCTCTCTTTTTTTTGTTGCGCTCCTTAGCTTTTTTTTTCTTTCCTTGTATTCCTCTCGAATTTTCATTGGTTTGTGTGGCGCATATATATTGGCGCTCTCTTGTACCAATATTCATGTGTCCAAATAAATAAATAAATAAATAGTACTGGTGAATGTTTTTGGTATTGAAGTATAGTTTAATGTGACCAGAAAAAGTGCTGAGGAAGAATAATTTGCAGCATTTGGTCTATTTATTATAAAAAGTATAGTTTAAGAGACTTGGTGTCTCCAGAAAAAAACACCATTTCTTTTCCTTACATACTAAACCAAAAAGATATGGAAGAAGGAAAAAAGCGAAATTCTTCAAGACGATGAGTCAAAACGTGCTGAACATCAAAAAATTCATTTCTGAACTTCATACGCAAGCAGCAAACAGTAATTTCCATGAACAGCTGGATGTCAAATCGAGTGCTGACTTAACCACAGAGATTAGCACATTTTATGCAACTACCGAAGTGCTCATCACGAAATGTGAGTTTCTAGCATCAGTTGCACATACAAATTCCTCGAACGTAGCTACTACCTTGACGTGGTGATAGGGCTTCCCTATCGTGATGGCCCAACCGAGCTATATTGGTTGGAACATGTGTTCGTTTAGGTTCTACCATGCAAGATAGGTCGATTGGAGAACGGTAAGACTAAAAGAAGCAACTCAAGGTCTGAGGGCGAAGTCGTACTGCTGGTTGTAGAGGGGTGTGACAGCAGTAAGGTGCTTCCCTCAGGCAACCAGCATCTGCAGCGATGCTGTTTTCTCGCAAGGAAAGAAGGGTTAGAAAAAGTCGACTCTAAAAATGTCACACCTCACCTTACCTCACGGATTTCCGTCTCCGGCAGTGAGGCCCTCTTGAAGAACGGAGCTGACACGTCGTAAACCTCCCACAAAAAGGCCGTGCGCGACCGGCCCCAAGCAGTTGTCCCTTGGGCTCTGCGGTCACGCTCCCAGGTCGTTAAGGCCAACATTAATCCAACTCCGTTTTCAGGTTCCTCAAGAAATACCCTTTCACTGTGTGGGCAGCCGGGAAGTGACATCAGCCCTCACACCCGTAAAGCACACGAGACCATGTTGGTCAGAATCAAATACTTCCTACACCTCCTAATAACTCTGTTATCTCCACTACTAACAAATCATACGTTCCCTTATCATCCCGCGCCTCTACTGCAAACGATTCGAGTACGCGGGACGTTACTCCTGGTCTCCTGAAACCACACTGTAAACTACATGTGGGAGCTTTTAACGTCCGAACACTATGCCAAATAGGACAACAGGCTTCCTTAACTAGGATTTTAGAATCTCGCGCCACCGACATGTGCTGCGACTCTGAAACGCGCATACAGGATCCAAGTGGCGCCATTCGTTCGACCTCACCATATCAAAATAAAGAACCAACTCGATTCACACTTCGTGTACCTGGAAGCCCTAATGCTGCTTCCCGGGGCATCGCCGTCGTAGGTATAGCATTGAGTCCTAGGGCAGAACTAGCTCTCTTAGTCTGGATCTCAGTAGACAGTCGTTTGTACGCTGTCCGACTAAACGGAACAGTAAGGACTCGGAAAGATAGGGACACACGTCGTTGCCTTTTCATCGTCTCTGCCTACTCTCCCACTGACTGTAGCTCAGATGATGTAAAAGACGAATCTTACAGAAAGCTTACCGACCTTCTCCGAAAACCTAGGCGTCTTGATGTAGTAATAGTGGCTGGTGACTTTAATGCTCAAGTAGGTAAACTAAGCGAAAGGGAAAGACACCTAGGCGGATCTTATGGTGTCGTGGCTCAAAGAACAGATAATGGCGACCGTCTGTTGCAGCTATGCTCAGATAACCGCCTGCTTCTTGCATTACTATTAACATTTGTAAGCCAGATTTAATTGATAATGCTGACAGTGATCATTTGCAAATACTTTATAGAAGCAGTTCAAACAACATTGAGTGACTTATTAAAAATCAATAATTGCATCCGTTTTTTTTTCTTATTTAGCGCTACATTATCATTCCTAATTCTTCTTTCTATGGTTTCATTTGTTCACTTTGTGTCTATCTTATGATAATGATTTAAAACTAGATATGAAAAATCTGACTCCACTTACAAATGGACGATTCGCTAACAATTGCCCAGCTATATTTCTTAGTAAATGAAGTACAATACTGTCCTCATATTATTTAGATTTTGTTCTTCATGTGCTTTTAGTCTACTTCAACTTTTAACTGTCAGTTCTTTTAGATAACCCCCAAAGCAAGAGACATGCCTTCGTAGTTAATTTATGCTCCTTCAAGTTATCCTGTCATATGAACTCAACAACTGGCGTCTTTACGGTTTTCGATGATGAAAACGGACTAATAAACGGTGTATCATGCAGAAGTAATGTTGATGAGTAGGGTTACCCATTTCCCACCCTGGAAAAATGCTAGCACGTCCCTTGACTGCCGTGGGGTATTGTTATAATTGCTTATAATTACACTGTTAAGCGATGTGCTAGACAAGCTCAACATATCGATTATATATCTCGACAGTTGTTGCGAGGTAAACCTGACAATACATTAGAATGATTATTGGTTCATCCATTACCATTAAGCTGTAAAGATCTGAACAAAGAAACTTATCGATGCCTTGGGTATCTACCTTGAAAAAAGAATGGAATGCAAATCTGGAACGTATATCTTCAGTGCATTCTACCATACATTAAAAACTGCCTACCACTCCTGGTGGAATTGCGTCTTTAAGATCGTTTTTTATTTTTCTTTCATACAGTAAACTAGTACTTCATAGTACAAATCTAGGTGTTCAAAAACTTTTCGGCAAGAGTTACACACTGGTGACCTGATATAAATACATGCATCCTACAGCAAAAGACTCGCTGTCATGAGTGGAAGTAGACTATATATATGGCCGCAGGTTTTGCGGTCCATTTCCTGGTAAATATTACCTATTGTGGCCACTGATTTCCTCTTCAAGTGTTCTGAGGTATTTTTCATGACTTTGATAAACACTGACTACTGTTTATGAATTAAGAAATATCAGTGTTGAAAGTATGTGCATGGTACCACTAGCTAATAGTATTTCCCACTTTGCAGTAGGTCCTGTTAGCAGTTAGCTGACCCTGTTATCTGTCCACCGTTTCATGACATTTCTGTTCTAATGATCAGGTGAAACAATTCTCCAGGACTTCATCGGGCTTTATTATAATATACAAAGTAACATTTAAAGGCATATTAAAAATGGTAAGAAAACCAAAGAGGAACAGTGCATCTAATATTACCATTATATCTTAGGATGGACTATTTATAAGTGAAGGTTCTGCTTCCTGTTTCACTGATGCCCTTACCGAACACGCATTGTAGGAACCATACAGTTCCCGCTACACTCTCTATGAATCAAGGTTTCTCGTCCGACAAACTTTTATAATACGAAACACGACTCGAAGCAAGAGAAAAAACAAAGACTGCAGATTGATAATTAAAATAACCATTAGTGTCATTGAATAAGAAAAAGAGAATTCAGCGAAGAAAATTTTCTTTTCGATGAAATCATTTACTTAAGTTGTACATTCATATATATTTATTGGACACATCGTTCCCAAGGATTCTTTTAAAGTGATCTATAGAGTCAAAGGAATTGGATCGAAGGGATGTCGAATCAATATTTTGTGCACTACTGGGGCACTGGCAATTCACGAACTCAAGCCCGAACTCTGCGTGCAGAAACGACTTGTCCAACCTCTCATCCTTCCTTGGCCTTACTTTCCTTAATGGGTATGTTTCTGTTTTCTTTCTGCACTTTTATTTGATTATTATCGAAATTTTTCAAATTACTATTTTGCAATTTTAAACTCTAATCAGTTATTCTTCTTCTTATTATTATTACCTCATACAAGTTTTGTTGATTATTATTCAGTCTATTATTACGACTTTTGTGTTTGTCGTTTTTCTTCATAGTTGTCAATTGGACTACATTTTTCATATAACTATATATACGACTGTAGATTGAGTTATTTCACACCAAATAATATCTCATTATACCCACTTATATAAAGACTTCATTGCCAGTGACCTGGCAGATGATCAATCCATACTTAGAATCGTGAAAATACAAACGAATGTTGTGTTGAATTATTTCATGAATTATCGGAGAAACCCAGTTACAATAAAAAAGCATAACCAACTAAAGGAGTGCGTGATCTACTTAGTCATATGCTTGACCCTACTCTAACAATAACGATTGTATGGTTTACACAACTAAGTACGATAAACAGAGACTACAAATCGATACCATGATATGTTAAATTGCTACTGTTAAAATGCCGTGACTACTATTTTTAGCACAGCTCCTACACATGTCATCTTACTATCTACTTCTATTTATCGTAGTTTATTTTGTACTATGCCTTACTGTTATCATTAATTCAAAATTCTTTTTGATTGTTTCAATGGTTACATACATGCAACCAAAACTACATATCAGAAAAACTCTGATAGTTAATTCATGAATATTAGAGTATCTTTTGGACAGATCCCGGCAAATTGAGAAGGGGAAAATTTGTGCCAATCCTAATTAAAATAAACGAAAGTTTCTCAATAGTGGAGACATATTTACATTGTTTCATTGCAAATAATGAACCCCCGGCTGATTAATGCTTATTTGCTTTTCCATTATTTACTATTTTAGTTTGGAGTGTAGTATCTTACACAAAACCATTGTATACAGGCTTACACCATATTCTAGTTGGTTAAACTATTAGATATTAATGCGATTGGGAAATTTGACACACCAAGCAAAACTAACAGCTAAATAATTTCGAAATTTGATAAATAAATCCTATTTCTATAAACCAGATGAGAACATTTCTTAGGCAACAGGTAATTCGTTCAGTTACTTCATTTTAGTATATACATTACACATAATTTGAATATATGCATTGCTTACTGGACAAGTGAAAATTTACAGCTAGTTTTATTTTTAGTATATTCGCATGGAGCTTTGATTGCTCCGAGGCTCGTGATGTAGGGCTTGTTGGACAAGGGCTTCAAATAGAACCTGTTCTTAAAAGAGCATTTGCTAATGATGGTCTCAATGAAAAATAGCTGGCCAAGACATAACAATTACAGAATATAAATTAATCTCAGCTTGAAAGGTGATACCATAACAATTAAATATTTATTATAAGTATTTATTTTATGTAAACAAAAAGGTAGTCAACAGTACAAAAAAGGGTTATGTTGCATTTAGTTCTGGATCTGTAAATCCTAATTGCTTGGATTCGAGATTTGTTCCGGTTGGTACTCGTTGTAATGCTGCGACAGTACAACTTTTCAAATTACATAGTTCTTCAATAACCGCTTTTTCACCAATAACACATCCTTGAATAGTACAACTAGGAAAAAGTAAAACGCCAATTAAAGTAGAGGAAAATAAAAGATTAGACAGTCATTAGATTAAAAGACGTAAAAGAAGCATATTTCAATCTGTAGTTCATGTTGACTAACTGCCTGGCTTAATATAATAACAAACAGATATCATAATTTCAAATAAAAGAAGCATCAAAAAAGTTAGGTGAAAGGACTTAAGGAAGTCAAAATTATGTTGAAGAATTAAGATATATGTGCTACTGACATTTAGTTTTGACCACGTTACACAAAACTTTCAATCATTAATATTACCATTTCTTAGGAAAAGCTGAAAGATCTCATAGGCTTAACAAACCGCAGTCGATGATAACCTATTTGTTCTTATAAAGGATGAACTACTAGATGATTTAACAACCTCAAGTGGTCTCTCTCAAAATTCTCCACCCAACTCTGTCCTCGACAACCCTTTCCAGTTGTTATTCATCCTTATCATATCTGCTTCCGTTTTCCGACGTAGTGTGTTCTTTAGTATTCCTCTTTTCCGTTTCCATTCAGGACTAAAAGTTGGGTTGCTGACCCCATGCCCAACCATCCTTCTTTGCTGGGGTTCGAAACCGGCAGTGACCGTGGTAGAGCTATAGGCGGAGTTGCGCCTGAAAGCAGAGCTAGCGTATTAGGGGATCATTAGTTAATGATAGAAACATAGAGTACTAAGTAAATTTGAGACCGACTGAGATGATTGATACATGTGTCCAACCAAAACTATATTAATGCTGGTTGGCATAGAAGTAGGTTGGAAGAAAGCCAGGGGTATTCGAACCAAGAACTTGAATCAGTGTATGAAGCTGTTGATTGTCGGTTTGAGTAATGTTGACAGATGAAGATTATATTTGAGTTCCATGCCATAAAACTTATCTAAGGTTAGATATCTTAGGAAACATGGGTCAAAATCAATCATCGTGGTGCGCTCACTCTTTATTCTAGATCTTAAGTTCTATTGTTTTTCTGTATCTTTTATTTTAAGCTCATTCAATATTTCAAACCATATAGTGTACATTCAATCACCGATTTCACTATCTTTAAATATAATTTTTAATTAATTAATCTATTTGAACACATAAATATTGGAACAAAGGGGCACCGAATGTGTATGCACCACACAAGTCGCTTGATTTGTTTGTGGGCTGTGATACTGCCCGGGTACCCAGACCGGAGGAGGTGGTTGTCCTAGAGGCCCACACCCGGATCCTTCGACCTAATAATCTGATGCACAAGGCAGTGAAGCAACGTCAGGAGATGCAGTAGTCCCATGGTAGCCGGTGACCAATAATTGGTTCATACGCCATTTGTTCCCTCAGGATCCTGGTTCCCATGAGCATGAATGGTTTGGAATCAGGGTTTCCCAACTCCTGTAGATGGATCCTCCACGTTCAACAACCCGGTTAAAGCGCTTGATATTCGCTTGTCGTCCTTTCAATTTCGTAAATAACACCCCTGCCGCGAGAAGGCAATGAGTAAGACTTCCCTGGCAGTTGCTGTATGCATGTGGCCATGTGAGAACATTTCGAGAAAGAGAGCGGTCTCTCCCCACCCTCAGTCGTACCAGTGCATTTGGGGTATGTACCAAGGCATTTTTATTAATGGATTAAACAGTTATACAAACTTTACAATTCATAGGACACTGATTTCAAAACTTTAAAATGTACTTTCATGCAACATCTGAGCCATGTCTTGTGTAATCAGTTTGAAAGTCTTTGTATATAAAGTGGTGGCCCAATGTTCCTTGATACTTTATCAAATAATCGGGGTTATTTTTTGTCTATTTAAAAAGATATACACCTAGCAAATATTTTTATCCGACCAATCTAAAAACTGTCCCAGTTACACAATCATAGGATATGAAGACATTATTCACCCTCTTTTATTCCTACTCTGTCTATACTTATTTTTTCGATTTATAGTTTAGACACTATATTAGTCAAACTGATTCCTCTGTGATTGTCACAAGGGGACTTTTGTCCTTTCTTATAGACTGGCACAATCAGTGATTGAGACCAGTCAGATAGGATTATGTCCAGTTCTCAAATTCTACCTAAGACCTTAGTCAATCTCACTGCTAATACTGGACGCCATCCCTAAAAATCTCAGGAGTAAGCCTGTCAGGGCCTGCTGCTCTCCCTCGCTTCAGATTTCCTATGGCTTTTTCAACTTCGTAAAGAGTTGGAGGACTTATATTAACTTGCCATTCAGGTTGACTACCGATCGTGGGAAACCGAAGTGTGGCTGAAGGCCAGTTGAACTGATCCATAAAGTGTTCTGCCCATCGGTCCAATCTCCTGGATTGAGAATGTATAATATGTCCATCTTTCTCTGAGAGTGTTTCGCTAACAGTCGGTCTCCTAATACCGGTTTCCTTAACAAGTCTGAACAATTGTCTGCTATTTCCTATTGCCGCCACCTTTTCCATCTCTCTTGCTTTCGCTACCCACCACTGTTCGCGATCATTGCGTAGGCTTCTTGTCAGCCTTCACTTAAGCTGACTCTGCTCTTCATCATGTTGAGAGCCAGATGGGATTAGTTTTCGAGCATCTACCAGTGCGGTAGATGCTGCTGAGATACAGTGTTTCTTCCTAACCTTATGGTTCACTTTACTAGAAAATATCACTGCTGTTTCCACAGCTTTTCGGATATCATTCCAAGCTGCCTCGGGGTGGGCATCACATACATGGCTGCCTAACTGTTTTTCTAGTTGTTCCTGAAATATATTCTTAAGTCGACTATCATTAAGCAGGACCATAAGAGGTTTCCTTGCAGTGTCTTTCCTACGTCCAGTAAGATGCAGACAGATACGCGCTCGTACTAGAGCATGATCTGAATCTAAGCATGTGCTCCAGAAAGAGCGACAGTCTTCTATAGAGCCCCTCCATCGGTGGCTGATAACGATGTGATCTATTTGGGTTATTATTCTCTCTTTTATTCCCTTCCCCTTAAATTCTCATTGTTTTGTGTGGCGCATATATATTTGGCGCATTCTTGTACCAACTTTTATATGTTCAAATAAATAAAAGAATGTCATTAAACGTGAACTAAACCAAATAATAGCAAAAGATTCAGCGCACTCGTAATATAAAATTACTCGGGTGATTTTCTAGGATTCAGGAGACTTTAGAAGTATTACAGAGGTAAACTAAAATTAGTATTAAACTCCAGTGCACAATTCTTACAGAAGTACAAAGTCATGTGTACCTGTAAAAATGTAAATGAGCTGATAATTTTAAAAAACTCAATATCAGCATATATTACAAAGCATGGGAGTTGAAAGGTGACTACTTACTTGTCCCTAATCTCTACATTTGAAAGAAGAACAGAGTTTAAGATTCGTACATCAGCACCGATTTTGCATGAAGAACCCACAAAACTTGAGCGCATAAATGCTTTTTTGTGCACTGTACAATTTTCTTGGATAACATTAAATTCCTTTCCTGACTGTTGCGATCCAGTGTGAATGCAGGATTTCTGGATAATCTGTAAAAAGCAAGAAGTGACTGAATACTCAGTTGACTTATAAAAAAGACCATAAAAAGTCAAATGTCTTTCAACCTTGTTTTAAAAGATGCATTACAATACATAAATTGATAGAAAGAACCGGATTCATAAGACAATATTAAGATTTTTGATGAATATAGTACAAATACAAGTGTGGTTGATTCTAAAGATATTATAGCATGGTTTTATGGTCAACATCCATGTAAATAAAAACAAACAAATAGATGCATGTTATCTGGATGAGACCCATTAGTCTAAGATGTTAAACTCGCAACAGTCCAGAGAGAAAAAATCCACTAAAGCAAACAAGAAAACTGAATTAGGGAATGAAACTAATTCTCACAATACACTATTCATAACTATTTTTTTGAATCCTCCACATGAGTATATAAAATGAAGTCTACACAAAAGTAAGGATTCGAAATAAATGACAACCAAAATACGACTAATGATCAGTTATTAGGGTGTCGTTCCAGTGTTACACTTTGAATTACATCCTCAACGACACCAAGTTGTTTACAGACAAGTATATTGATGGAAACCTATAAATGTAACAGTTAACACTGGTATATAGTTTGTTAATTATCCCTAAACTACACACTACCCGCCATCATTTCTCAAACTCGAGCAAATTGTGATGTCAATAGCAATTCAGTATGAGACAACGAAATTCTGAAATCATACTAATAAGTTATACTATGATATTGACAGCAGGGCAAGACAACACATTATATGAAGCACTAAAGTCGGACATTAAGATAACTGCAAACATGCTCCACGTTCTCTTCAGGTAGACTTGGGGTGAAGAACAAGTGCCACCAACAGACTGGAAAGAAGGATATCTCATCAAGATACCAAAAAGACGAGATCTGAGCAAAAGTGAGAACTACAGAGGCATCACACCACTATCGGTACCAGGAAACGTTCTCAACAGTGCCGCTGGACCAGATGAAAGATTCAGTAGACACCCGACTTCCAGATCAACAGACCGGATTCCGTGGGGATCGGTCGTGCACAGACCAAATCGCGACACTAACGATCATCGTTGAGCAATCAATTGAATGGAACTCGTCACTATACATCAACTTCCTTAACTATGAGAAGCTATTTGACAGCATGGATAGGAGAACCTTATGGACTCTTTTTTGACACTATGGTGTAGCTGAGATTTTCAAGGTCGTACAGAATTCTTGCGATGGACTACACTGCAAAGTCTTGGATGGTTGGTTGCTAACAGACATATACTAAGTAAAGACCGGTGTCAGACAAGGTTGCTTACCTCTTTCTCCTGGTGGTCGACTGGATTATGAAGACCTACACATCTGAGGGGAAGCACGCAATTCAGTGGACAGTTCAAAACCAATTAGACGATTTGGTCTTCGCAGATGACCTAACCCTCCTATTCCATACACACGAACTAGTGTAGAAGCGGCCTCTGCATCAGTAGGCCTCAGTATACACAAGGGAAGAAGTAAGGTCCTCAAATACAACAAGGAGAACACCAACCCAATCACATTTGATGGAGAAACTCTGGAAGATGTGGAATCTTTCACGTACCTGGGAAGCATCATTGATGAACAAGGAGGACCCGATGCAGACGTGAAGGCAAGGATTGGCAAAGCAAGAACAGCATTCCTACAGCTGAAGAACATATGGAACTCAAAACAACTGTCAACCAATATCAAAGTCAGAATCCTCAATACGAACGTCAAGACAGTTCTACTGTACGGAGCTGGAACTTGTAGAACTACCACAAACATCATCAAAAATGTGCAAGTATTTATAAACAATTGTTTATGCAAGACACTCAATGTGCGTTGGTTGGATATCAACCTGAATTTTACTGGATGGACAAAAGGAATTATTGGACGTTTCCTCAAAGCACAGCTCAATGATGTAGAGGTTAAAAGTGCATTTCGGTGCCAACTAACTAGTCATGAAGTTAATGTTCATCCAGAAGAGGCCTGGGATCACATGCATACATCTGGGGATACATTAGTAACATCATTCAGTAAATTAAAACAGGTAGTTAGAAATGACGTGTAGATTTTAGTAGTATTCGCCGAATTTGAAAGTGCTCGTAAATCCATTCCATCTAATTCTAAACACGACAGAAGAGAAGACAACTTAATCGTAAACTGACAAAAGGCCTAAGAAATGATTGTGATCACCGAAATTGAAAGAGATGGGAAAGTTATCAGTGGTAAAAACACTAGACATCTATTCAGACTTTTTGAAGAATCAGGTACAGAAAAGTCTTCTGTTAGTGAGACTATCTCCGAAAAGATGGAACTATGATTCACTCAGCTAAAGCGAATGATGGTTGAGACATTTTAACGAATACCTAAACTGGCCTTCACTTGCTCTCTAGTTGCCCGATATACCCAAACAACCTGAATGATAGTCTTTAGGTGCCGCATGTAATACTCCCTAATCATCATTTTTCATCTACTGGACAGGACTATATTCGGTTGTCAGTATAAAATTTGAGGAACTTCCTCTTAGCTAGAACATTGTCGTGCCGTTCTTATAACTTCTGTGTTTATAAAAATAGACAGAAATTATTCACGCCACCTGGAAAACATATCTAATAGAATAAGGGCATAATATTTACAAAATTCTGTAATAAACAGCCTGACCATTTTTTCAGGGGTGATGCTGATCTACCAAGAAGTCCCTGTGGTAGGCTTATTTTAAATTCACCAACATAACTTGGACATTTGGCAGCTAGTTAATATATGTCCCCATTCAGCTTAGACACTAACAAATGAGTCACCCGTTTCGTTATTTTAAATCTTACATGTCCCATGTGTAAATTACCCGAAAATGCTTTTACGTAATGTTGGTGGTATCGGTATATGGTTATACATACATGTTAGTTCATCTAAAGTCACGGACACCCGATTTCTTCACTGACAAAGTCAGGGAAATTTTCTACCAGTTCCTTTATTTCAACCCTCAAAAGTTCTCAACACTTTACAGAAATGTTTCTCCATTCATTTCTATACACAACGCAGGTAATGGTCCCATGGCAACTTGAACCGATGGAACATACGTAGAGTTGTACGTTGCGTTTGACTGACTGACTGTTCTTCTAGGTGGCCGATAAGGTCACAGTTGTCTCATCCACCAAGACGTTCTCTGAAGATCAACCAGTAGCATGGCATTTATCAAACTTTCATACCCACTTAATGTAACCTGTCCTTTCGGAATTATGACAAATGGAACTACGGAATAGAAACGCGAATTCAACTCACTACATGATATGGAGCCGTTCGGCCTGTTAGTAATCGACCTTCAGTGCGCGTGTACCAGTTTTACTGTGTGACGATACACGTGTTATCCAAAACACAATAAACTGATAACTGGTGTCCATAAATACGGCAATTACTATCGACCTATGAAGTCAAAAACGATGCAAGACAGCTAGACATCTGTATTTGCACCCGTCCTATATGGTGAACCGTTAGGAATAGTTGAAAGGTCTGTGTATCTGGGTAGTAGTGTGTGATATTTGTGGAGTGGGAGATGAAATCAAGCCAAGTATAGGGGAAACCAGAGAGTAATCCCAATCCAGGTCAAATTTGGCACCATCGTGATACCTGCTTGGTTGTAAGATTTCGAGTTTACAACGGTTCAATCAATTCTCTATTATCGCCAGCTCAGTATTTAGCCAAGCGTTTTACTGAACATATTTACAAACATAGATACTGGTGGGAACAACTAAAAACGAATCTTTTTAAAAATGTATGGTTACTAACCAAGCGATTTGTTTCAGCATATATCAACGGATCCTCAAATTTGACTGAAATGATTTTGTCATGATGTTCATGAATGCAAGTTCCACCTGTTTGATAGCATTCAAGGTAATTCTTTATGTTGTTAATCACGAATTTTTCATCAGGCTCTCCGTTAGTTTCTAGTGTTTATCGAACAATTGTAATGCTAAGTTTACCTTGATTTGCCTCCGGAGGTTCGGACCAAACATATTGCCAAATAGACTTTTTACGGTGAGTTATATCTTCCCCTAGCTTAGAAATACAATAAAAAATGGTAGTCTCAGTTTACCTTAGCAATGTGATCCAAAGCTGTCCTGGAAACCAAATACAATCCGCAATCTCTAAGATCTGAACGACATAAAATAGTCTGTTGAGAGCTAAGAGTTTTAGGAAGTTTAGACTGCTTTTTTATATCACATGCGGGCACATAGCTAATTAGGGTACTGCCATCATTTGTAGTTACGGTTAATTCGCTGGGAATAGACTTGAGAAGTTTGCTTTCTGTCGTAGGGAGAGTTGAAAATACGGTCACCACTGAAGCCTTTTTCCTGATCATTGTGAGAAATATGTCCCGTAAATCGATTTCACTGATAACGGTATTGGAATAAGTTATAAAAAGATAGTTGGATGTTATTGAAGAGCGGATTCTTTGTAGCGTTTCGGATAAAGAGTAGAAGTTAGGAAGTTCGCGAAAGTTAACTTTCATATAACCAGGCCAAAGTTGACGATTTTCATTTAAATAATTCGTTAGACGTATTGTCTGTGCTTTGTTGTGGACTATTGTTACGTCAGATATTTCACTCAGAATAAAAATACTCATCAATCTGCTGAGGACAGTCTCGTTTCCCAAAGGGAGTAAAGAAGCAGAACCTTGTACAGTTAATTGCTCCAGCTCAGGAGATTCTGCGTTGCATATTATTAGTGCTTGCATTACTTCTAAAGCAAAATAACAGGCATATAGTTTAGAGGAACATTAAAAACGACACGTGGTATAATGCTAGTCGCAATAAGTCATAAGTTCGCGACATGTCTCAAACATCCCAGGTTATTATTCTAGTTAAAAAAAGGAATATGTTGTTGTTCGGGTGGGAAAATACGTGAAATGCACGTTTACCAATTGACTTCCAGATTGAACAAGTGGTTTTTAAAGTCTTATATTTGCATTATTTCGTTTTGTATCCGTCAACTATTATACTCAAAATGTATTTCAAGAAATTGGTTGACAATGACTGTACTTTAAAAGCTGTACTCGTGCTTAATTGTCTTGAGGGCCATCAGTTACTTTTCGCGAGAGATAATCAAACAGTTTCTATCTGCCAGTAAGTAGTTTTATCATTAGATAGTGCCCGAAGATTCCAGCGCTAACCCAACTTCAAAAATAGGCTAGATTTTGATAATATCAGTATTATATACCGACAGATATTGGGATGAGTAACTCGGACGACCATGCGACAAAAATATCACTGAATATCTAGAGCAAACGGTAGTACAAGGTTAGGGTAGGACTCTAATTTATGGACGAGCCAATCAGAAGCGTTTAAGGAATTTCAAGGTCACGGCGCTAAGTTCAGTGCGAGATGCTCACATTCGATCGTTTTACAGCAGATTTTAGAGAATAGGTGATCGTTGAGAGACTATAGCAGATGGCACTGTTAAGAAGTTCCTGTGTCTGTGACTGCGGCAATTAAATGACCGCAGCACGATGTGCAGACTGCCGCGATGACATTGTATTTCGTTGTACTATATGTTGTAGAAAAAAATCTGCTCGAACTGGCACTTTCTTTGCCCGGTCACGGCTAAGGCCTCATGAGCTTATTATACCACTTAAGTTCTGATATTTCGAAGTTGTTACAACAAAAAGGTATTCAGAGTTGTTAGATTAGACCTAAGCCAAACATACAAAGTAACTGAAATACTCACAAGATTTGTCAGGAAGACTACAAGCAACTATCAGTTGAAAATCGCGCCATACCGTTATTCGGCCTTAACCTTGACTGCCAGTTTCGTACTGCTGCATTAATTACTTTTGTTTCTCCTTATCTCCTATTTTGTTTGCCTGAACTTTCGCTTTTCATACATGAACGTATTTACAATTATATTTGTAATTAGAATTTAGAAGTGTATAGCACTAATAAATAACGTATTTCTGCCGGTCTTCGTCATCTGATTGCAGAATCCAAACTTATCAAAAGGACTGACTGTTCTAAATCGTAAGGGAACCTGATAGAGAGAACCAGATCAGCAACAATGACCAGACTGTAGAGGCAAATAAATCCCCAAAATAAATAGCTTTGTGATTTTTCGACATTGAATGCTGACCACATTAGTTTTAATGGACTCACCTAGCTGAAGAAGCTCAGTCATGCATCCGCATCAGATCACGAGTAGGAACGCCGTGCTCAGCAATCCCTGCAATCGCTAGCCAGATTAGATCAGTCGATCCTCGAGATATTGATAACCGATCAAATATATCTTCGAACCTTCTCGCTTCTGTCTTTAGATTTCACTTGGTGGGTGCGATTCATATTAGGTGTTACTGGTTAAAGCGTTGTCGAACTTTAAATACCTGTGCCATCTTCAAGACAAATCTTATACTGATTGCTGCTTAATTAACAACGAAAATATCTTGGTCCTGTAGAAGTCAACCAGCCTGAGTATCTCACTGTTTACATCACTGAATGTGATGACAAGTAATAAAGGTTGGAATTCAACACGAAATATCAGTGCTCTTGAGAAAGAGATAAAAATAATAACCAGTATCATCTAGTGAAAAGAACTAAGGTATGGGTTTCCTACCCCGTCTTCAATCACCTAATATTTGTTAAACAGGCAACCGAATGTTGCGAACTTTTGGAGCAGACGTACTTCTTTATCGCACAACAGCTAAGTTGTTTAAATTATCTGCTTTCTAGCGATGTCGATATCTTTCTCCCTATTTACATTATAGCTGTATTGTGAGGGACATGGACCATTATGATTACTTGTAACAAAAAATGATTTGACGTCTAACAATGCCAAAAAGGTTTATTTGTTCTACTTTTTGACCAACCACCATATTGTCCACGTTTTCTGAAAATTACTTCAATACGGACTTAGTAGACTTTTAGGGCCGTAACATCTAGAGATCGTTGTTAGGTAATTTATTTGCGCCAGAAGGGCATGAGAATTTTTATGGCACCCAGAGAGTGTAGTATTTGTAATAACTTGTGATTCCTTTGTACGTGATTAAGCCCTGAATACGAATTCCGTTTATAATCCTTTCATTCGTACTCATTTAGTTCTACCTACCTTTAATAACACTATTCTATTTCAAATACTTTTATTCTTTGATGGTGAGCCCTTGAGAAACTTAGATCCTGAGAATTCGATAATCGCGTTACGTTTCGAGAAGAATGACTCTTCTTAAGAACCACATCATTACCACTTAGGAGTTCCTAAAACAGTTCACTTAAAAAGGGCGTAAGGTAACTGATGTGTTATGATGTATATCTTCTTTGAAGATTCAGAACTCTTTTTCCATGATGTTATCTTAAAGCTGGGTGATTTATAAAAGGTTGCTGGTGAATGTACAGATATATCTATATGTTTATTCGACCTATGAACATATTTTGACAAGTTTCGAGAAAACAAACCACGTAGCTGATACATCTTTCTGAATCACAGATGAATTTAAATTGTCACATTTTGCTTCTGCGAGATCAGTCTGAATATTTCTTCCGCTGTAGTATTTTGATGTTGCACCAGTTACTCAGCTAAAAATCCTTTGTGGTTTGCCTCCTCTGGAAATTGCTTCTATCTGTCCCATGCCTTCATTCCGGACTGAATCGAAAAAATTGTGTGTCGTGCGGTTTGTCAGCATTACGCCTGGCTCTGATCAAGTCACGTCTTCATCCAAAAGACACATTTGAGTGACACCAATCACATTTAAAAGAAATTCAGCTTGAAATAGTAATGAGTTCGTCGGACAATATTTCAAGAACAGATCATTTCATTTTTAATGCGATGAGAGGTTTTGCAAATGGATTTCGTGGAGGTATATAGTAGAGTAAACATATGACATACTTTGGCTCCACTTCCTAATTCCCTGTAGACTCAATTAGTAAAAATTGCTCGGTTGCCTAAACAAGACTCTAGACGGATTTCGACATATTCACATGACTACACTTAAAGGCAGAACAAATATTCGAACCTCAGTTCTCCTTGCCTTACTTACATAAGCACTCACTCAACAGAAAAGTTCCGTCTAATAAATTAAAGTATTCCAGAGTCCTCTGATGGTTTACACAAAACCATGCATCTATATATTCAAAAGAAATGTTTTCCTACCAAGAATTATCCTATTCCTAACTTTGCACTTTACGAAACTTGGTAACCATAAGGTTATTGAAAAAACAGAAACGTTTATTTTCGACGGAATCATTTACTTAAGCTGCACATTTGTACTTATGGTCATATGGTAAATATATGTCTATAGAAAGACATAAAAGATTGCATCATAAAGTGACCCAACATTTCAAATATCAAATGAGGTCGCATAATAGTCAATGGGTTAAAGAAGAACAAAGGGAAGAAAATAGATTACAAGTCAGAATTTTGGAAGATAACTGTCCACCTGACAGATATGAAGAGAAATAAAAAACTTAAAGGTTATATTAATGACTGGATAACAATCACGAACAATTGTTAAAGGATAATAATAACTGATTTCAGTCTAAAATTACAAAACAATAATAAAGAGAAACACGATCGAAGCATGCTACAGGGAACTGGGGGATCAATGACATCTCAGCAGTGTATAATTTTTTATTCCGCCTCTCTTCAACCTAGCTCCTTCGATTGAGTAGATTATTTTGAAGGAAGACTCCTTTGTGTTAACAGGCTATTAATTGCTACTGTATTGAACTGATGGCGATTTTGCATTCTCCTGATTAAAAATCGTAACAATAATGTTTTGAAACGCGTTTAGGAAGTAATCTAACTCAGAGAAGCAAGCAAATTAATTAATACACATCTATGTGGCCCAAAGCGGAAGCTTATCTTTGACACATCCGTGTATGATTGACCGGCCCGAGAACACAATATTAACCCTAGCTGAATAGGTTTTAATAAGGGATTCGTAAGTTCGTTCATTCAAGAGTTCGGCAGCTGTATCTCATAAAAGTCTTCTTATGAATTGTCTGTGTTCTCAGAATGTTGTCTTGGTGTTAAGATTTTGCCGACAAATCTAAGCGGATAACCATTTCTGATGAGTATCTGTCGAAGTTGTAGTAGTTCGTCGTCTACTGCGTCATTAGAACATATTTGCCTAGTCCTTAGGGATAAAGAACGAACTATGTTTCTCTTTCCATTCAATAGGACCCATATATGGAAATTCGTATACTGACCATTCAAGGCCGGGTTTTTATATATAGATCTTTGTAAAGAACCATCTGACTTTATTTTCAACTGAACATCGGGGAAATGAAACTCCTCCCTTGCCTCTTCGTCCAACGTGAATTGAGTTGTAATGACAACTATTGGATCGATCTAATATTTCATTGAGGTTTATTTCCTCTTCACAAATAACGAAAGTATCATCCATATGTCTCTTGTATAAATGAAGTCTTTCTATCATTGGTCCAAGTGACGTACTTTCCAGATTGGCCATGAAACAATCAGCCAAGAAGGAGTCCAGTGGTGAACCCATCGCACTTACATAAGCTCGTCTATAGAAATCACTACTGAATCCGAACAGCACATTGAGAGTACAAAACTTACTTACTTACGCCTGTTACTCCTCGTAAAGGAACATAGGTCTCTCCCCAGCATTCGCCACCCAACCGTGTCCTGGGCAATCCTATCCAGCTCCTACCAGTTGTTAATATTCTTTCTCATATCTGCTTCTGTTATCCGACGTAATGTGTTCTTTGGCCTTCCTCTTTTCCGCCTTCCTTTAGGATTCCAAGTAAGGGCTTGTATCGCGATACAGTTTGACGATTTGCGTAGTGCATGCCCTATCCATTTCCATCGTCTTTTCCTAATATCTTCTCCAACTGGAAGTTAGTTTGTTCTCTCCCACAAAAGGCTGTTGCTGATGGTATCCAACCAATGCACATTGAATGTCGTGCGTAAACAATTGTTTATAAATACTTGCACATTTTTGATGATGTTTGTGGTAGTTCTACAAGTTCCAGCTCCGTACAGTAGAACTGTCTTGACGTTCGTATTGAGGATTCTGACTTTGATATTGGTTGACAGTTGTTTTGAGTTCCATATGTTCTTCAGCTGTAGGAATGCTGTTCTTGCTTTGCCAATCCTTGCCTTCACGTCTGCATCGGGTCCTCCTTGTTCATCAATGATGCTTCCCAGGCACGTGAAAGATTCCACATCTTCCAGAGTTTCTCCATCAAATGTGATTGGGTTGGTGTTTCGTGCCTTAAGGTAACCCTCGTGCTATTGATAGAAGAAACCAGAGAAGTAGTGAATAGGTCTTTATTTCGATCTTCGCGCAGTCACAGTGG